GGGAGGGGGGTCCCAGGTCGGCAGGACGGCGTGGCCCCGGGTTTGGGTGCCTGGGGGGTGGCATGTGAGCAGGGCCTGTGGCCTGACTCACGGTCAGAGGCCTTCAGCACGGTGATTCGGGTGCACATCACGGGTGGTTGTGAGCTGGGGAAGTCTGAAATGAGCAGGAATATTTGAATAAGGTTGTGAGTGGCTGTGCTGAAAGCTGTCACGCTCGGTCGCTTTCTTGACTGAGTATTTTCCAGATTTTGTGTAAAAAGTGGTGAGGAATGGAAAGGAAGGGCCAGGCCTGGCCTGGCAGGGCAGAGCTGCCCTACAGACACTCCACACAAACCTCTCCTAATTCCTCCTGTGTGGAAAACAAACTTCTCAGGTGTCTGAAGCCCATATGCAAACCTTTTGGAATTGGTGCTTACACACCTACATGCCTTATCTAGAACTCTAATCATCTTATCTACCAGACCATTCATAGTGCCTCAGCAATTAACTCTGCAGTCCTTGGCAAAGGGTTCCACTGGCTGGTAGAAGCTGAAAAACAGGGTGGCTTGGGGATTTTCAGACCTTGACAGAATCATTTACCAAGGCCAAGGGCTGGGTCCTGCACTTGGGTCACAACAACCCCCTGCAATGCTCCAGGAAGAGTGGCTGGAAAGTGCCCATCAGAAAAGGACCTGGGGGAACTGGTGGACAGCTGGCTGAACACAAGCCACCATGTGCCCAGGTGGCCAAGAAGGCCACCAGCATCCTGGCTTGGATCAAAACTGGTGTGTCCAGCAGGAGTGGGGAAGTGATTGTGCCCCTGGACTGGGCACTGGGTAGGCCACAGCTGAGAACTGGGGTCAGTTTTGGGCACCACAGGATAAGAAAGACCTTGAGGGGCTGGAGTGGGTCCAGAGCAGGGCAACGAATCTGCTGAGAGCTCTGGGGAACATGGCTTGTGAGGAGCAGCTGAGGCACCTTCCTTTATTGCTTCTTTTCTGATATTTTCACATCACCTTGCAGGTCTGTTTGTAGCAGAAAAGTGTCCTGTGCCATTTTAGGTTAGTGAGGGTGGGTGTGGGACTCCCCAAGGGTGGGTAAACTTATTGCCTGCTTGGCTCCTTCTGCCAATTCAAGGCGACTGTTTTCAGAGCATTTCTACACTCCTGTACAAGATAATTACGTTGTAAGCCTGGTTTTTCTGGCCAGTTGAGCCTCTGGGGGCAATCCATCTCAATTTTCCATTCAGGAACATTTCCCCCCAAGCTGGCATGGGTAATTTTGAAGCTGAAAGCTCCTTGGGACAGCGATTATCCCCCTCTAGAAGTGTCGGTAGGGCGCGAGATGTGACGAAGCACAGATCCTGACTGGAGCTTCTGAGAGCTATTCATTTATGTAATATGCTGTTCTTAAAAAATACATCTCCATGGCCTTTTGCCTTTGATCCTTCAGTAGTTCCTGGGACTGTCACTGTGTGAGAATCAGAACAACTTTTCTCTCTTCCTGGATAATAAAGACGCTGAAGAATCAAGAACTCAGCGGCCATCCCCTCGGATCCATTTTAATTCCACATCTTCGTGTTAGGTGGTACCATTTAATTGCTCTTGGCTCAAACCCCAACAGCCAGCTCTGCAGCTCTCCAACAGTTTCCTTTGCCAAACTGCCCTGCTGCAGTGTAAATGTGAGCCTGTCAGCTGGGGCCAGGCAGATGGGTTCCTAAAGATCTCAACACATTCCACCCTCCCTGTCTTTTGCTCACCTGATACGTGTCTGTATTAAAGAAAGCTGTTGCCTTTTTTAAAGCATTAGAAACTGTGGTGCCTAATTGCTCATTAAGCTGTTCCCTTCTAGAACCTCCTGTTTATGTCACTTACTTTTGTTTGTGTTATTACCAGTGATAGTTTTCAGCAATGAATGCAGGGAATGTGATGGCAATTTTACGCTTCTCCTGGCAGGTCACCCCTCTGAATTTGGGGGAGGACACAGGGTGAAACCATTCTTGCAAATAAGCAGAGTGACACATGATGCCTCTGGCAGGTTTCTCTCCAGAGCCTGCTTTTAAAATAAACCTTTTAAAATAAACCCTCTTCCTGCAGCACTGCTGTTGAGTTTAGACTTTTTCCTTGCATTTCTAGTTGTGTCTACATAGACAGAAGCAGAAGGCTGAGATGGAGTCTTGGGGTCCTACACGTAGCCAGGGACTCATAGAATCAGAGAATGGGTTGGGTTGGAAGGAACCTTAAAGATCATCTAGTTCCAAACCCCCTGCCATGGGCAGGGACACCTCCCAGTATACCAGGTTGCTCCAAGCCCCATCCAACCTGGTGTTGAACACCTCAAAGGATGGAGCATCCACAGCTTCCATGGGCAACCTGTGCCAGGGTCTCAGCAGCTTCAGAGTGAAGAACTTCTTCCTAATTTCTTATCTCAGTCTCCCCTCTTCTAGTTTGAAGCCATTACCCCTCATCCTATCACTACAAGCCCTTGCAAAAGGTCCCTGCCCAGCTTTCTTGTAGGTCCTCTTCAGACACTGGAAGGCCACAATGAGGTCTCCCTGGAGCCTTCTCTTCTCCAGGCTGAAAACCCCAATTTTTCAGGGCCTGCAGGGTCAGACTTTGCAGCTGTACAAGCCTGAGCATGTCCTGTGTAACTTCTCCTCCCTGATGTGTGTGCACTGGCCAGTCTCTGAGTAAGAGCAAAGGTCTCGGGGCTCGTACCCATCTCTGCTACAAGCCTTTTACTCTCACAGCTGCCTCAGTTTCCCCATCTCCACTGGAAAATCTCACAGGTTCACAGCATTGGGGAAGATCATTTCCATCCCTGAGAAGGGAGATGAGCACTATAAAGACTGAGAAATGAAGGGATGCAATAAAAGTGTGATGTGAGCCCAGAAGCGCTGTCGTGGTGGAAGGGTAAAAGTCCTTTTATATCTTTTTGGTGTCTTCTTTTTCCAGATGGGTTGGGGTGATTTGGGTGCTTTTGGAGAGCCTTCTAAGGAAACCCCTAACCTAGACCAGATGGCTTCAGAGGGGATGCTGTTCCTGGATTTTTATACTGCCAGCCCCCTCTGTTCTCCATGTAAGTAAACCTGGGTTTTAAACCATCATATCAGCATTGTCACCTTCCAAGGAGATTGGGACCTCAGCCAACGTCTGACATCAACTAGCAACCAAACCAGTGATTACCCTCAGGGCAGAGTTTGGATTTGGTGCTTTGATCTTAAATTTTGCTCCCTTTTTATTGATGTTTTGATTGGAAAACCTACAATCTTCAGTTCATACAGAGCCCTGTTGAAGTGATCCAATCAGTCCAGCTAAAGGATTTTTTACAACATTATGGTCTAGTGTTCTAGCCTCAGTGGCTGCATTTTTTTTAAAATCTTTCTTATTTTGGGATAAACATATAAAACAGTATCAAAATTATTGCTGAACACCATTTGTACATTGGTTTGGGTGAGGAATGGCAGCAGGTTGTGTCCTGGTTTTGACCCTGGTGGTTTGTATGGTTCTTGGGGAAGGGACAAAAGATAAAAGAAACGTTGAGTCTGGGAGCCACAGATATTTTTATCATTTTTTTTCTGTGGGGTGGGTTGGTTTTTTTTCCTTTCTTTTTTTTCCTTACACCTCATTGGCAGCCAAGAACTGAAACAAAAATGAGGAACAGGGACTTTTTATTTGGGCTTTCAGTTTGGCTGTGTGCTGATGATGTCCTTGCTCAGAAAAAGACATTTAAAATCTGCTGTCCAGTGCTGGTGCTGCATATGCTTCAAGTTAAGCATCTGTTTAAATGTTCCCTGCAGTCAGGACCTGACTTTCATTGTCAAAGCTGGGCAGCTCTTTCTTCACCATTAGATGGCTTTTTTGTTCAGGCAAGCTTGAAAACTTAACCTTAAGCACGTGTCATAGAATCCTGGGATGTTTGGGGTTGGAAGGGACCTTTGAAGGTCATCTAGTCCAACCCCTGATCAGTTTGTGTTACCATTTCCTCCTACATGTGCACATCAGGGGCACCTTTTAGAATTACTGAGATAGGATAGGTGCTGTGTTGACTCTTGAAAGCAATTATGCTTCAGCAGCAGGTAATTAAATAAGAAGGGTTAAATTTTGGTTGAGTTTATGCAGGAATTCCTCAAATGGTGTCAAATCAGAGCCTGGCTGTCCCCGTGGCTCACTGGAGAGGCAAGCTGCTACCTCTTCTAATGGGAGTGATCTTAGTAGCTGGCTGTGACAAAAGAACACTTGACATGCTTCAGTCCATGCATTGTCCTCAGGCTTAATAAAATAACATCACTATTAATCAAGCAACACCTCTAAAATGAGCTGTTTTTTTCTTGCAGCAAGGGCAGCACTGCTGACGGGCCGTCTCCCAGTGAGGAATGGTTTCTACACCACAAATGCACATGCCAGAAATGGTACAGGCTTCGTTCCTCCTTCCCCTTCCTCTCCATGTCCCCCTGAGCTTCGTAGGAAGTTTTGCCTTGAACAAAAGCTTGGCTCTGTGATCTCCCCTCCGTGGGTCTCCCAGAAGGGCACAAAACCCACCGCTAATAAGCGTGAAATTTACTGCTTCGTCCTCATTGAGCAGAAAACATCCTCAAATTAAGAGACATCATCAAAGCTGGTTGATCCATTTGCTTCTGCTGGCTGAGAAGTGTTTCCTCTGGGCAGATGGATGGGTGTCTGGTGAAAAACAGGCACATGGTTGGGGGTGTTAACACCCGGAGTAAGGCACAGGCTGCTCGTGGTTGTATTCGGCAGGCAGTTTTCTGCCCCTTTCAGCTCTGGCAGTTGGACAGCACTGGTGTGCCTGCAGTGCTTCCAGGGGAGGTTAACCAGGTCGTAACGTCCCTGGGTTGGTTTTGGTTGCTGTGGTTGGTTCCAGTGTGGCAGTTGCCACATGTGTGGGGAAGGAGTGGCAGCTCCAGACCGAGTCCTGCTGTGTATCAGCAGCGTGTGGTTGTCTCCATCCTCACCACAGGCACACCTCAGGCTCTCAACAGCCATAGAACTGTAGGCCTTTCTAATAATATCTTTCAGCTCTTGCAGTCTGAGCAAGTTTATCAATTGAATTAAGAGAAAAAGCCTCCATTTTAGAAAATATAAAGTGAACATAAAGGCAAGTCCAGTGCACATCTAAAGCGCTTGCTTTCTTCGTGACCCCCTGTCAAGGGTCTCACCTTCCTTCTGTCATTGCAGCCCTTTTATTATTGCTGTGCAAGTGGGTGGAGATCCACTGATCTCCCTGAATCAACTTGTTGTCATCTCATGTCCTGGGAGGGCTTCTAAGAGGTGATCACAGAGTGGTGGTGCTGGAAGGGACCTCTGAAGATCATCTCCTCCAGACCCCCTGCTCCAGCAGCTCACCCACAGCAGGGTGCCCAGGGTCACATCCAGGCAGGTTTGGAATCTCTCCAGAGCAGGAGACTCCACAGCCTCTCTGGGAAGCCTGCTCCAGGCTCAGGCACCCTCACAGGAGAGAAGTTTCTCCTCCTGTTGAGATGGAACCACCTGGGTTGCAGTTTGTGCCCATTGCCCCTTGTCCTGTCAACTGGGCACCACTGACAAGAGCCTGGCCTCATTCTCTTGCCCATCACCCTTTAACTCTTGCTCAGCATTGGTCAGATCCCCTCTTGAGTCTTCTCAGGTTGAACAGCCCCAGGGCTCTCAGCCTTTCCTGGGCACAGAGAAGCTCCAGTCCCCTAAGTATCTTTGTGGCCTCCGCTGGACTCTCTCCAGTAGTTCCTTGTCTCTCTTGAACTGGGGAGCCCAGAACTGGACCCAGGATTCCAGAGGTGGAAGAGAACCTCCCCTGACCTGCTGACCACACTCCACAATGCACCCAGTATTGCTGGGACTTGAGGCCAGAGCCTATTTCTGATCCAGTAACAGTGCTTCTGCTGATGGGTAGCCTTGAGCTGTTCACTCTAACATTTCTAAGAGTCTGAAAGGTTTCTTTTTGTTTGTTTGTTTTATGCAGCATACACACCACAGGATATAGTAGGAGGAATCCCAGATTCTGAACTACTCCTTCCAGAGTTACTGAAGGAAGCTGGCTACATCAATAAGATCATTGGCAAATGGTAAACTTATTTTAAGATCTCTTGCTTTGAGATATCAGTGTGAACGTGTATGTGTAGTGAAGAAGCAGCAGAACACCCAGAACTGCAGGGGGGAAAAAAAAACATGTTTTGAAGCTCAGATATTTGACTTTTGAAATCTTTGGTGGATCTTCCCCCCCCTGCTGTCAACAATTACTGAATTGAGTGGTGTTCAGTTGAGGGTTACATCCATATACCCTCATACAAGCAGTTGAAGGGGGTGTATGTATGTATGTGTGTGTATATATATATATATTTATAAACCCTGCAACTCTTTGTGCTTTCATCCATGGATCACACTCCTTAGTTTAATCAAAAACCACCAAGATGTTCTGTTGGAACCTCCCTTGAGAACTTACATGCCTTTTACATTTGGCTCCTGCTGTAGGTTGGGTTTTTTGTTAATAGGGTAGGATAAATTGTGAAAGCTTTTTTTATGGGAAGGGGTGTGTGTAGAAGTGTGTGTGGTATAGAAACAGGGCTGCTGACATCTCCAGAGCTACCCTGAAGATTGTTCATTGAGTGTAGAATGTCAGGCTAGCTAGGAGTAGGTGTGATCAGGCTGGTTAGAATCATGGAATCACTTTGGTAGGGAGAGACCTTTGAGATCATGGAATCCAATCATCAACCCAGCACTGCCAGGTCCCCACTGACCCCTGTCCCTCACACCACATCTCAACGGCTTGGAAACCCCTCCAGGGGTGGGGACTCCACCACTGCCCTGGGCAGCCTGGCACAGCCCTGGGCAACCCTCAAGGGCAAGAAATTTTTCCTCAGGGACAACCTCAACCTCCCCTGGGGCAACTTGAGGCTGTTTCCTCTTGTCCTGTCCCTTGTTCCTTGGGAGCAGAGCCCGACCCCCACCTGGCTCCAGGCTCCTGTCAGGAGCTGTGCAGAGCCAGAAGGTCTCCCCTGAGCCTCCTTTGCTCCAGGCTCAGCACCCCCAGCTCCCTCAGCTGCTCCTCCCCACACTGGGGCTCTAGACCCTTCCCCAGCAGCTTCGTTGCCCTTCTCTGGCCATGCTCCAGCCCCTTAAGGTCCTTTTCGGAGTGAGGGACCCAAAACTAAACCCAGAATTTGAGGAGTGGCCTCAGCAGTGCTGAATCCAGGGAGCTGATCCCTGCCCTAGTCCCACGTTGGTACTGGGTGTTTTAAGAGACTAAGGGGGTGATCCATCCAGTCCATCCATTCACAGGACAACATTCACATTGATGGAAGTACAGTCTGATCTTTGTAGAGGATGCAGGAGAACATTTTGTGATGTCTGCAACGACTCAGAAGGGAAAACCCTGAGAGATATTCAGCTCAAAGAAGCGTGGTGGAATCAGCAGTGTGTGATAGATGAAACTGGTGTGTTTGTAACACATTTCAGATGTTCTTGTGGGCTGTAACAGAATCCCATGGGGCCTGAGGATCTCTGAACAGTCCATTCACAGGCTGGAACAGTGCTGTAAGAAATAAATGCAGAGATCAGAACTACACAGGCAGCAGAGGAGTTTGGTTAACAGAGTCACTGTTAACGAAGAGCCTTCGGACAGGAGTATCATCAGGGGATGCTGTTTAGGAAAGTAATGGGACACAGTTTATTTAACAGGTTTGTTAACAAGGTAGAGAAGAGTGAGCTTGAGTTGTGGTCGGATGAAATTGGGAAGTGAACAGACTAACCTAAACCAGGGAATTATTTATTACCACCAATCCGAGCAGCAGAGCGGCCCCGAAGAGCCGGATCAGTGGGCTGGAGGCAACGAGATGGAGTTCAGTGCTGAAAAATGTAAATTCATACAAGCCAGGGAAAAGAAATAAATCACACAAATACAGCTCGGTTCCAGGGGGTTGTTTGGAGAACAGCAGAGCTGGGAGAGCCTCCAGCTGCTGGCACGAGGTGGAGGAGGCTGGAGGGGGCTGAGCGCTGGCCTTGGGCACCCAAGGACTCCTGGCCCAGAGAGGATGAGGCAGTGACACTGCACAGCAGCAGTGGCTGGCATTTGTGCACCCTGCCTGCTTCCTAGAGAGGTGTAAAGAAGTGCACAGGGCACTGGTTAAACTGGAGTCTCATCTGAGCCATGTGTAGAGTTTTGGGGCTTTTAGAAATTTTTCTGTTTTCCAGCAGAAGATTTTTATATCCTTTCAGCATCTCTTCTAAAAAGTTCTCAGGCTGTCCTGGCAGTGAGTTTCACAGGGCTGACAGGAAAGCTGGAGAGGGACTTTTTACAAGGGTTTGCAGTGATAGGATAAGGGGTAATGGCTTCAGACTGGAAAAGGCTTTTTTTTTCTCATTTAGATGAGAAATTCAGAAGTTCTTCACTGTGAGAGTGGTGGGACCCTTCCCAAGGTTGCCCAGGGAAGCTGTGCATGTTCCATCACTGGAGATGTTCCAGGCCAGGTTGGATGGGGCTTGGAGCAACCTCCAGTCATGGGAGGTGTCCCTGCTCTTGGCAGGGGGTTGCAACGAGATGATCTTTAATCTTCAAGGTCCGTTCCAGCCCAAACCATTCTCTGATTTTTCTATTTTTTGTGTTGTGAGAAGGAGAGAATAATTGATATCTCAGTAATTATTTGATAATTCTTTCAAGTCTCTTCCCCTGTAAGTTCTCTTAGGACTTGCTTTTGAAGAAAAGATTTTTTTCAGGTCCCCTGTTGTAGAAAGAGCCAGGAATAGCTTTGTATTATCATATATCTATAAATAAGGAAAGGGTAGAATCCTGTAGGTTGGACCTGCAGTTGTAGGTACATCACTGAGATACCATTGTAGCTGGAATGATGTTTATTTTCTGTTAGAACTCATTTTAGCATAGCTCAGAATAACACCATGGATCATTTTACTTCAGGTGATGTGTTTTATGCCCCTTTTGTTCAGAGAGCATGCAGAAGGTGATGGCACAAATGGGCAGGTTGCAGATGCAGGCTTGTGAGTGGAAGCTGGAATGGTTAAATTAACATTTAGCTACAAAAATCTCCTTTAGAGACTAGAAGAGGATGGACATTGTGTATCTTCAAGGTAGTGTAAATGAGGAAAATGTAGAATTTGCAGTGAAGAAGTTGGAGAAGAGCTTCATCTTGAAGTTAAGGCTGGAGAATTTTTAAGCTGTGTAGTAGAATGGAGCCATCACCACATATTTTATGTTCACATGTGCACCTAAAGACCTCATTCCCATTTACATTCCCATCTCTCTGTACCATTTTGGCAGCATGAAGACCCCATAAAGGGGATACAGATAGAATGGTACTTTTCCTGAGCTTTACCTTGTGTTTTTACAGCTCAGTTGTATAAAAGTGACTTGTGATCAGAATCCTGAAGTAAAACATTATGTGCATCTTTGCAATGGCTTTGGGCAGTGCAGCCCATCAGTACAGGTCATTGAGACAGTGTGAGAGAAGGCACCAATAGAAGGAAATAATGGAAGCCCAAAGGTTGGACAGTGGACCAAAATGGGATATATTTAAGCACCACAGTGAGTCTGCATGGCTGTGTTTGCTGCAAGTATGAGAAAGATCCAGACAAGGCTCTGTAGTTATTTATTTGATTAAAATGCTTGAAGCCTTTCTTCTTGGGGAAAGACTGTTTTCTTGCATGCCATTCTGATGAGATTATTATTTGCTTCTTTGCAGCAGAATTTTAACTCATCTGTTTCTTTTGTTCCTAGGCATCTGGGTCACAGGCCCCAGTTCCACCCCCTGAAGCACGGGTTTGATGAGTGGTTTGGATCCCCAAACTGCCATTTTGGACCTTTTGATAACAGAGCACTCCCCAATATCCCTGTGTACAGGGACTGGGAGATGATTGGCAGGTAATTCAGCTACTTGCCTGGTAATGTTATTTTCTTTGCTTGCCCTGCTGACATTACAGTGCTGGAAGATAAGTGCTAGCATAGCAAACCCATTTCAGGGAAAAAGGGTTGGCAAAAACAGCAGCTTGCTTCAGAATCACACTCACAGGCTCAGCTGGATGGGCAGTGATCTACAGGTGCTTCACCCTGTGGAGAGGGCTTTTAGAGTGTGTCAAGCACTGGGAGTCTCCTGCCTTGTCTAGGAGCTGAGGTGCTGGCTACAGAATGCCCAGAAAGGCCTTCAGTTTGGCAGCAAGCCAGCACAGGGAAGATGCTGGTAAATATGAATGAAACACATGGCCAGCCCTTCTGGGTCAGGCCCTCTTAATCCATTACACCCTTGTGATCACCTCTGGTAAAAGGAGACAGAGATGTGGGACAGTCCTCCTCTTGTATCTTCTCCACCTTCCTAAACTGAAGGTTGTGTCCAGATCATTAATAGCTACTGTCTCCACTTCCATGAACTAGTCTTGTCTCTTTTCTAAACCCATTTGTGTTTCTGGGCCCCACAACATCCTGTGCCAGGATCTCATCTCTTGCTCTGCCCTCATACTTTGGAAGAGGACTTTCCCCTCTAGACTAGGGCTGGCCAATATCCAGCCTTACAAAGCTTGAGTGGAGGTTTCCATCAGAAGCAAGATGAAAGTAACTGTCAGGGTGGGTGAAGTTCACCTCTAGGAGAGGAAGCAAGGATAGTCCTTCTGGAGGGAAGAAGAGGTTTTGAAGGCAGTGCTGGCAGCTGAAGGTACTTGAATGCTGTTGCCTGGGCAGTGCCTCGTGGTTGTGTCACTCTGACTTTTCCAGTTAAAGCTGAGACAGTGCAGACTTCTGTGGTCTTGGTGCCCCTCAGAGACTAGGCAAGGCAGCTGACCACTAAACTTTATTCTAAACACCTGAACCACTTTTTGTAAGAATCCTGTCTTCCTCATCTCTAACCATCTAAATTTAAATTTGAAGCTTGTTAAATATGAAGCTAGGTGCTTGATTCTGAGGATTAATAAAGAACTGAGTGCAAGGGCAACCTGCAGATTGCATGTGGGCCATCTAGGGATGTAACTGCTCTAGAGCCTCCCTCCCAGAGATGTTTGCTTATCCTGTGGTGCCCTAAAGGCTTCCTGTGATGATTTCACTCCATTACTTCTCTTGGAAGCTGGTTCCATTCTGCACTGAAAGACCTCTTTATTCCTTCTCTTCCTGTTTGCGCTAACCTTTTGTGTGTTTGCATAACACCATTCTGTGCTCCAAGCCTGCAGCCTGTGTCCATTCACTTTTGAGTCTGGTATCATCTTATTTCACTCACTGGCCTTCTCCTGAGGACTGCTCCCTGCCCTTCCTTGCTTAATTAGTATCTAAAGATACTTCTGACATAACATTATTCAAGCAGCCCAAGTTCTGATTCCAGGATTGCTCTGTCTCACTGGAAGTTGTGGTGTACTGACAGTTTTACTGGCATTTCAAACAGCTCTCCATTGAAGGAGTAGAGGCATGAGATCTTTAAGCATCCCACCCCTATCCTAATAACTTGACAGCAAAAGGTTGGTGGCTCAGGTTTGTCCAAAACTTGCAGTCATTGTTAGTTTGGATCTAGCTGTTTCACTACTCTCTCCCATCAGAAAAAATATGGAAACACTGCTTTTTAATATCTGAAGAGAGTTTGCTGAGTAGCAGCTATGACCTATTTGTCACCTGCTTACACAGTAAGTGAAGGGAGGAGTTAAAAAAAAAAAAAGCCTTTTATGTTGTATATTCCTTAGGATTGATTTTTTTTTTTCTCCATTTTATCTTAAGATATTATGAAGATTTCAAAATTGATCTGAAGACAGGTGAATCCAACTTGACTCAGATCTACCTGCAGGTACTGTCTATTTTAATGCTGCTTTTTAAGCCGAAGTGACTTCATGCTGCTTTTTTTAGAGAGATTTAGATAGCAGAGATGATTCCATTAAATGAATTTTTATTGTTGTTTACAGGAAGCTCTCGATTTTATTAGCAAGCAGGAGGCCAGCCAGCAGCCCTTCTTTTTATACTGGGCAATTGATGCTACCCACGCTCCTGTTTATGCCTCCAAACAGTTCCTGGGCACTAGTCAGAGAGGACTGTAAGTCTTGGGTTTAGTTTTCTTTTTTTAATTAATACCTCATGCTGCAGAAACCAAAAACCTAAACAATCTTTATTAGATGCAATTATCTAGATCATTTCTCCAAAGTGTGTCTGTGTGTGTGCTGAAATACATTAGTTAGCGAGGACTTTGCTTGGATTGTTCTGTAATAGTTTGGCTATAATCTGAAATATCATGTGACTAAAAAGGGAGAGAAGGGGGAGTCTAAGCTCCTCTGCTAGCTGTGTGAGTAACAAAGTGCTGCATGTGGCACAGATGAGTTTTTGGAAGGCTTTTGTATGATTGATGCCTGTTTTAAAAGCCTAAAAACCAGAGCAGCAAGTAGAAAAGCACGCCTGGAAACAGCCATTTACAGGATGCAAAGAGCTCTGTAGATACCATGAGCCTTGCTCCTGAGAGTGCAGCTTCAAACCAGCATCCAGCAGCAAAACTAGGTTTTTAACTTCAAGTCTGTGGTGAAAGTGGCTTTGCCTGCATTTGAGAATTTTATAGCTAAATTGAAATCAGTTGCTGCTCTCTGTCCAAAAGCTGCTCTCATCTGAACCAGTCCTGACTCTTAATACCCAACAGAGGTTGGACTCTGCAGGTAAGAGACACGGGTCTTGCAGTGCCGGTGGAAAACTGTTAGCTGATGAGTTAGAGAAGCATTTCTGCAGCACAGGTCTAAATTAGGTCTGCTGACAGCACTGATTGCAGTGTGTGATGCCATGGGATGCTTTCCCTCTGTAGCTGCTGTTAATGTTCTGCATCTGCTTTTGCCTCAGCTACGGGGACGCTGTGCGAGAAATCGATGAGAGCATTGGAAAAATCCTAAACCATCTTCAGAAGCTGGGTATCAGTGAGAACACCTTTGTGTTTTTCACCTCTGATAATGGGGCTGCTCTCATTTCAGCTCCTAAACAAGGTGAGCCTCAGATGAACCCAGCCTGGGCTGGGGTTGTGAAATCAAGGCTTAAATCTCTGTGTCGGGGTGGGGATAGAAACTTGTAGCTGGGGTTTTCCTGTGTGCAGTTAGGAGAAGCCTCCAAATTCAGAGCATTTCTGTTTGCAGCTAGCTTATCTGCATCACTTCTGGTCAGTGTTGGAGGGGGTATCCTTGGCTAAGTGGACTTTTGAGCTAACTTTTTGGGTGTGGCTGTTCACCTGTGTGCATTTCCACTTTGTGCTCTGCTGCCAGGGCGTGAATGTTTTTTAATTTATTTAGGACTAGGCACAACAACATAGCAGGGTGCTTACTCTCCAGCTGCCAAATGCATGTTTGAGCTTTCTGAGTAATTACAGAGAGTTCAGGAATCCCCCCTCCTTTAGCTCCCATGAAAAATATCACAAAGAAAAAGGAATTTTGTTACTTTGCAAGCTTGCTTTTGTTTAAATGATTGTTTCTCCCAAACAGAGTCATTGTGTATTGATTTTTCTAACCCACTCTCCTCTATTTGGAGGCAAACTGCCTCGTGGTTATTGCACCACAGAGCAGGGAGTAGCCTGAGTTCCCTTTTCAGCTGAACCACTTTGTTTGACTTTGTGTGACCTGGAATTGTTCAACCTCCCTGTTTGTTCCTCTACAAACCTCTACAAGGTTGGGTTAAAACTCCAGACATTCCTGCACAGCACTTGCTGTCTCTGAGGGTGAAAATTTGGGGAATGCATGGTTATTTTTCTCACCCTTGAATATGCATCTGGTACTTTAAAAGGATTATGAAAAAAACCACAATTTCTGCCTGAAAGTGTCAGATTCTCTGTTGTTACAAACAGCAGTTAACATCCTTAAGGGGTAGGGAAATGCCAGCAGAGTATTTTCTGTTTGTTGGGAGTTTCTGTTTGTTTTCTTCTTCATTTGGTTAAAAGCAAGTTGTGTTTAACTTGCTTTCTCCCTGTGCTGAAAAGACACTCATAAAATTCTATCACAAAAGGATATTTATAAAAAAAAAAACAACTCAACAACCATCAAGCAAAACAAAACTCTGGACATGTTATTTGGAGAAGCATTCATGCAGAAATAAAAATTCATTTAAAACTAGCTATGAAATTTCCTAGCTGACAGCATCCCTTTGGAGTATGGTATTGGCATCCCATGGTTTTCATGCCTTCTTTCCTCTCTCTAGGAGGAAGCAACGGCCCTTTCCTGTGTGGCAAACAAACCACCTTTGAAGGTGGCATGAGAGAGCCAGCGATCGCTTGGTGGCCAGGACACATACCTGCAGGAGGGGTGAGTAGCTGCTTGGAACTCTTCTGATTGGCCTGAAGTGAAGGGGGTGGTTCTTGCTGGGTTCACTGGGCTTTGCCTCAGGCTTTTAACATGCCCTGATACTTGTCTAATTAAGAACGATGCCACTCCTGGTCATTATTGCAAATTTGCATCTGGAGTGTCTGTCGTCAACAATCTGTGAGCACTGAGCAGCCCAGTCTGTCTTCCTGCTCTATTTAAACCCTTTGTTCTTTTGGGACATGGTGTTTTTAGTGGGTTACATGTCTGAACAAATCAGAATAAAGGCACATTGCCAGTGTCCTGGTCTGAGAGCAGGGGTGTGTTGCCCACACACGCTCTCTGTGCCCTGAAGTATCCAGTGATTTGACCCTCACAGCTCTCGCTTTGGTGTTTGATAGAAGTTCCACTCAGGGAGGTTTAAATGCCAGGCTATTGCTCTTTCCTGCCTGTACACAAATTCAGATAGGATCACTTCAAAATAATCCTCTGGTGGCACTTCCAGCCCCTCTTGTCTCAGTTCTCATTAAAGGAGGATGCAGTCGGTTCTTCCACGGGCAGGGTTCACAGTAAATACTACTGACTCCCTCCCCTTTGTGCACATCTCTCATCCCTGAAGAAAGCAATACTTCATTAACTGGGCACTGTGCTTAAGACTGCAAACTGTTCATAAATAAAACATTTTTCAAAGTTGCATTCCTGTTCAGTGGTTTAATTGAGGCAGGATAATGGAAATTTATCGTGTGCATTTAGGAGGAAGCCATCAGATAGCTTAGATCTGAGGGGCAGGAGGGGAGTTTGGTTTCATCATTTTTAAAGAGTTCACAAAACCTATGAGGGATGTTTTATTATTTCTTTAATTTGAAATGAAAACAGCCTTTTTGTTTAAATTTAAACATTTCCATAAAGCCTTTACAAGCCAAGTATAACAGCCTTGGGCTAGCGTATGAGAACATGGAACTGAAGCTGTTTTGTTTTCCACATCCAAACTAAATAATGTGCTAAAAGTAAACACACATTATAAATGGGGACAAATCAATACCAATTTAAAAATTCTTTCCATTGTAGTAACTCTGAGGATGATTAAGAACACGAGTAGAGAAATCACTGTCCTTGCTTTCTGGCTGGGGCCGGCCGGTGCCTCTCTCCCAGGTAGCCTTGTGCACATAGCTCAGGGGTGAAGCTGGCCGTGGTGCATGATGTTCTCTGGAGCCCACTGTGGTGCACGGCTTCCTGCTTGAGGCTGCAGCTGAAGCTGCTGTTTGGATTCCTGGGAACAGGCATTTCTGTGCAGTTTACTGTGTTTGCATAGCTGGGCTGACCGACTGATGCGAGCCCAGGCCTGCTCAGCGAGCTGGAGGGTGTGCTTAAGGCTTACTGAGGCAGGTCTGCACCCCAAAACCCCCTCCTTCACCACTGCTGATGGCATTTAAGCACGTGCTTCACTAAATCCTTCCTGTCCTGGGCTCCAGTTCACGATGCTGCTGGCTGAATGTCTGCATGTGCAGGTGTAACGCTCACAGATGTCCTCCTGGACTCTGCTGGGGTAGCTGGAGAAGCCTGTTCTGTCCCCAGGATGTGCTGCTTTGCTCAGGGTTGGCTCCCCAAATGATGTTACTGATATGTGACAGCTACTTATATGTCTTTTCTGCTTGTATTCTTGCCATCGAGGCTCCAGCACTGGTACCCCCAGCAGCACTGACCACAGGTGAGAGGTTTGGCATCACTTCTGTGTAATACAGCTCACGCTGCCTTGGCCTGTAGGTGGTTACTGCTTTTTAATCACCTCTTTCACTGACATAGTAAGTGAAGAGACACATTTGCTAGTGAATTTTTTGGCTGCTTTCTGTATCTGATAGAGTCTGCAGCTTTGACATCATCTTGACTGTGAGTTTAAACCAGTCAGCCTAAGTCCTGTGTAGTCTGAAACCTGTAAAATGTGGGAATACTGCTTCAAAGTCCCTCCTTGCTCTTTCTTTTCAAAAGAGTTGAAGGAAATGGCAGCTTGGGAGCAGCCCTGAAACCAAGGTGGAAGCAAAGAGCTGCTCAGAAGTGCCAGGCACAAAGCTGGAGGGTCAGCTCCCCCTTCCCACGCTGGGTTTGCTCCCAGTGCGATGGTTGTTCCTCTCCAGGGTGTTTTGGGGAGCAGGCAGAAGGGTGGTGACCAACTGCAACCAGGAAAAAAGAGGGCATGTGTCTCTGGGCAGTGCAATCTAGTGATTGGGTGGAAGATTCATTTTACTGATGGGATTTGGCAGTTTATTAATAATCTTTTATATATATGTATATGGAGGGGTTCTATTAAAGGGTCCATTTGTTTGCTGAAATAAAGGAGAACCTTTTAACTTAAACAAGAGAAGGTGGGTGACAGGGTTGTGAGAGCTTGCCAGGATGTTGATAGAGGTTGGGATAATTGGTGCAGTTGGCTGATTTGCAGGTTTTTGGGGGGAGAAGGATGCCTCAGGAGCGCGCGTTGCTCTTGGCATCAACACCCAGTTAATTGTGGTCTCCCATCAGGAATATTTATTCACACACAAACAGCCTTTCTGCAGTTTCCTCCTCAGCTATGTTTTCCAGGTGAATTCACAACAAATCAGCATTTCAACATTCCCCACATCACATCTGCCTTCTGGAAGGATCCAGCTGGAAAAAAAAAAAAAAAAAAAAAAACCAACCAAACAAACCCAAACCAAACAAACCCTAAAAAAATCACATTCTGTTGGTATTTGAATCCTCCTCCTCTCTTCCCTCACCCTCCTCCCCTTCCTCTCTCGTGCCTGCTTCCTGAAGGAGAAAAGAACATATCAACCCAAAGACAGCATTGCAACCTTTTCTTCACTATCTCCCACGGGGAGCAAATTGAAATTGAATTAGACAGGGATATCAGGTCTGCTCGCTGTGATAACTGTAAAAGGATTTTATTTAAAAACACCCTGACATTTGTTCACCCAGTTTCAAATATTTAGCTTTCCTCCTTTCCATTCCTGGCGGGGGCGACTTTATTAATTGTCGCCTTTGATTCAGAGTTAAAGCTTGAAAGAGCTGATAACAGCAGTGGTGACTATTTCTTCCAGCGACGTGGCCCACAGCAAAAGGATTTCATTTTCTTAAAGACGTTATGTGTAGACTGAGAGTTTATTAAAAAGAAGAGGGAGGGGGAAAAAAGGGGGGGGGGGAAAAAATCCTTTCTTACGTGGGTAATACCGGCTGTTTCTCACTGATAGGAGCAATATCTGATCTCCCTCTTTTTTTATATATTATTTATTTTCTCTGGGCTGTTGCCCTCTCTGGATTTTTCTTTTTCTTTCCTTAAAAAAAAAATAGGAAAGGCAACTAGAATGAAAGAGTGCTGTTGACAGGAGAAAATGGTAATTTTTTTATTTTTCTCTGAAAATACTTCAAAGTTTTATATAAATATTAACCTTTTTTTTTTTCTTTTCCCCCCTCCCTTCTTCAATGTGGTGCTGCAGAGCACAGATAAATCCAAGTGGCTGTGGCATGGGCATTTAATTTCCTTAAGAAGTTTTCTCTGCTTCACGGGGAAAAATGTTGTCTGAGAGCAGAAATGTAATTGGTTGATTAAAGAGAGTCATCTACATCTGGTTATGGTTAATAAGGGCCAGTACAAGAAGACCGTGGTGGCCTCACAGGATTGTCACAACACGAGGTATAAATTAGGGGCTATCAGAGGCAGAAGTCTCAGGTCAGCAATTGCCTCTTGCTGCCTGTTATCAAAAGATCGAGGCGAGGGAACGGAGCGACAGGAAAAGTGACTTTGGGATTTGCCTTCTAAATTGGGAGAGGTCTAATTACAAAAAGCCTCAGACACCAGTTTGCCCGCCTGCTGCTGACGTGGCAGTTGTCAGGGAGCAGGCATGTGCCAGATCTCCTCTTTATTAGATTCTGAGCTCTGCATATGGTGCCCTGCTGACCCCGCAGCTCTCCTAAGGCATGTGCGGGGTAAATTAGCTGGCAGATGAGCCTACGAGGGACTGAGCATCTTTGCTGAGATGCTGAGCACTTGTAATCCCCTTGGACTTCAGAGGGAGTGCGTTGTCCCAACACCAGTGGCTCGTGAAGCTCTCTGGCTCTCTAAGGGGTGAGCTGATGGCTGGGGTTTTTGCTTTCACAGAACCACAGAGTGGTTTGGGTGGGAAGGGACCTTTCGAGGTCACACAGTCCAACCCCCCTGCAGGGAGCAGGGACATCCCCAACTAGAGCAGGTTGCTCATAGCTCTGGCCAACCTCACCTGGAATGGTTCCACCGCTCTGGGCAACCTGGGCCAGGGGCTCACCACCCTCAGCAGCAAAAATTTCTCCCTTCTCTCTAGTCTAAATCTCCCCATTTTAGATTAAAACCATCACACTTTGTCCTGTTGCAGCAGGCTCTGCTAAAAGGTCTGTCCCCAGCTTTCTGACAGGCCCATTTAAGTCCTGGAAGGCTGCAAGAAGGCTCCTCCTTTAGGACAAGAGGAAAGGGGCTTAAGTTGCTCCAGGGAATATTTTGATTGGATATTAGGCAGAATTTCTTCCCTGGCAGAGTGGTGAGACATTGGCCCAGGCTGCCCAGGAAGGTGCTGGAGTCCCCATCCCTGGAGAGGTTCAAAAAGCATGTAGATGTGGCACTTGTGGACATGGTTTGGTGGTCATGGGAGTGTTGGGTTGATGGTTGGACTTGATGATCCTGGAGGTCTTTTCCAGCCTTAATGATCTGATGATTCCTAAGAGCCATGGAACTATTCTTGCATGAAGCTTTAACGTTATGTGTTCCTGCCAACACCCTTTGATTAATGAAAGCCATTAAAATTTGAAATTGCTGTAATCAAATAATGTGATATTGTACTGTTAAACTTGTAATTAGTCCCCTGCATGTTCCTTTCTCCAGGTTCTTTATTTTTTAAAAAGCTTGTGTTCACTTTTTTTCAGCCCAGTCTCTTAATACAAGCCTCAGTGTCCCAGCAAAAACAGCATTTGCCCTTTAGTTCTTTTCTCTAGAGCCAGCATCTCACCAAAAAATGATTTATCATCTTATCATTTGTTGTCATATTTAAATAATTAGTGTCAGCTTACAGGCTGGGGCTCTGTTGGTGAGTAGAAAGAGGATTCAGAGATAAAATGTCTTTGATAGTCCCAGCATCGTAATGTTCACACTGACATTCACAAGGCTGCTGCTAGGGCTTGGATTGGAGTCAGAAAGTGCTTCTGCACTTACAGATGTGGGCTTGGATCAGATGGCTTCTTGTTTCTGAACAAGAGATAGGGCTGAAAAGGCTCTTTTCATGTCTCAGCTCATGCATCCTGGTGCAAGACAGTCTTGCTCTTGAGTTGAACGTTTCTGTTTCAGTTTAGCCTGTCTCTGGCTAATTAAACATCCTACAGCAGAGAGCTGGAGCACGCCACGAGCAGGGTAGGAGCAAAGATTCAGAAAGAATCAGCCAGAACAGACTTTTTTAGGGGTTTAAAATATAAATAATTAAGACCAGAGAGATAAGTGTGGATTCCAATTAAGGGATGGGAATAAAAAAAAAAAAACAAGGGGGGGGGGAAATATTCACATCCCCATTGGAGCCAAACCCAGATGTTTTTCTCCCTTATTAAAATTTATACTAAAAATACCACAACTTTGCAGTTCTTGAATTGTTGGAAATGGTTTGCAGATGAAGTCATCAGGCTCTTTTTGTTATTATCCATCCATCTATCCTTGGGCTTTCTGGGAACTCTCTCAGGGTAGTCCTGGACTCCAAAGATGACCTGGAGAAGGGAACAGATCAAGGAGGTGGGTTTTTTTGGTGGCAGAAGTGCTGATTTTTCAATCCACAAACGACTTGGAATTTGCTAAATGAAGTTGGACTCTGTGAAAACAGGCTCCTGTAAAGTGGATGCATAAAAGTGAGAAGAAGGAGAGGAAAATGAGACAATGAATTAAAATGCAAATGCCCCTTGGAAGGGGAGAGAAATATGGATCATCTCCTTTATTATTTTAATCAGAGGTTTGCTGGTGACTGCAGCACCGTAAAGGGAGATATTCTCACAAGCTGCTTAGCAGAGGAGGAGGTTCAGGAAGCAATACTTCTGCTGAGGGGGAAACCAGCCCGTTTCCTTTGGGGCTTTCACTGAGGGTCTTGTTGCAAATGCCTTTCTGTTGGTTTTGCAGGTCAGCCATCAGCTGGGCAACGTGATGGATCTCTTCACCACCAGCCTCTCCCTGGCGGGACTGCAGCCTCCCGGTGACAGACAGATTGATGGCATCGACCTTTTACCTGCCATCTTGCAGGGCAAGCTAATTGACAGGTTAGTGATGAGCCCAGCGCTCCGACCCTTGCCTCTGAACTGAACAGATGCCAAACCCTGCTTTATTTCTTCCCTCAAGTCTACTGAAATGTTTTATAAACTGAATTGATGTGTCTTTGCCCCTGCGAGGCGAGGCGGCGATCCGCTGGTTCTCTGGTGGGGAGAGCAGAGGTGGGATTTCCCTAACATCTTGCCACACAGTGGAGTCTGGGGACAGAGGAGAGTGTCAGGGGGTTAGCAGGGATCCCTGGAACAACATATGGCAATAGGGGGAGATAAAAGTCTGAGAACTGTAGCCTGAGTAGGGGAGAATACATTATTTATTACTGAAAAAACATCCAAGAGTACGCCGGGGCTGTATAGAAAGATGAGGTTGGAGGTAGAGACTAGAACCCCTCCTCCTCCCAGCATCCTGCTTTTGGGGATGCTTTTGCAAGAACTGATGTGGGTTAAAGAGCTGGGATCTTTATGGAGTGTCAGCTATTGGGTACAGGCACTAAGAGCTGGCAGTAAATATCCTTGGCTCTCTCAACGGGAGCATTGGAGGTCAAGAGAGGTCTCGTAGTTGTGATTTTGATGAGGAATTTGGCAGCCTGGGAAATCTGGATGCAAACATTCTTTCTCTGTGAGATAGCGAGGAAACATACACATGGAAAACACATTTGAGTTCTTTTCTGTGTTGGACATAAGGCTTTGTTCCATAAAAACTGGTTTTGTGCCCGTTAACACAAGAAGCACACATGTACAGGATCGCAGACACAAGGCGCTGAGGGTTCTTCAAGCACAACCTATCCCATCTTGGTTTTGGAAAGTTTGGAAAGCTTCTTTTTTGTTTTAGAAGAGGATTTCATTGCAGTCACCAACCCCTTGGAACTGGTGCTGTTTGTGTTACAATAGCAGCCACTCAAGGTGCATCTTGTGGTGCTAATGGTTGGACTCAAAGACCTTTCCCAGCCTAAACAAGTCTATAATTCTGTGGCTTGTTTTCCTTCTTTTCTTTTTTTCCTTCTGTTTTTCTCCCCAGACCTGAGCAGGTCACAGTTTCCACAGCTCCCCCAAAACTTCCAAGGAGATGCAGTTTTTATGTTCTTTTAAGCTTAGAAAGGCAAAAGTGAATGAGGAAACAAGAAATCAGTAGTAGTGGAATTTTGAGTGCAAGCTGTAATCCTCTTCCAAAAATGGAAATATTTTTTTGTTTAAAAAGCAACAACCTGCCCCTACACACCTTCAATCAAAGGGGCACATGATAGCTTGTCAGACAGCCAGTGTTTATGGCAAGGACAAAGGCAACTGGGACACTTTGTGGCATATTTGGGCTTCTGTTAGCAGGCCAGGTTTAGATCAGGTCTCTCAACCTGCCGTTATCTGACTGACATTTCAGGTGCAGGATTGGGCTCCTCTGGCAGCGTGTGTCCCCTTTGTTCACAGGCAGTTCCTGGTGACAAAGGACAAAGGAGCATTGTTTATGCAAGGAACCTGCAGGAGAGGCTACGGTTTTAAAACAAAAGATCTAAGGCCACTCCTGTGATTCAGACAGTGGATATTTTAATCTTATTTTGCATTTAGAGACTGTTTTTTTTTTTTTTCAAGGTGGCATCACCCGGGTGAGTAGTTTTTGCCGAGTGGCATCTCTGAATGAAAGACAAAGATGTATGTACCCTACAGAGAGTGACAAACAGCTTCACCATCTCACCCTGTCAGCAGCCTGAAACAACTGGAGGGAAGAGCTGACTAAGTCTGATGCCCTTGTGCAGGGAGCCGTGCCAACAAATCAAACCTCTCTCCTGCAAATAGTCCAGTAAAATCTGGTGCTGTTCCCTCCAAAACCAAGACTGTGTTACTGGGGAAACCAACAGGAGCATTGCTGGCATGCCCAGGGAGAGGGTCATGCCTCTACAGGGGTGCAGACCAAATATTCTGAGTGATGGAAATATATCTATGATATATATATGTATGATATCTACATATATATGGAAATATGATGGAAAATAGGAAAAATGTTCCTATTTTTAATTAGGAAAACCTCTGGGGAAAAAAAAATACTGTTTTCAGTGACACGTATAGATGATGCAAAGGGAGATTTGGGGAAAGAAAATGGACAGGAGCTAAAAATAAAGCCAGTCTAGCTGCCAGGTTTTTCCATATGGAGTTTTTCTGAGCCGTCATCCAGAACCAGGCCAGCATCTGGTGTCCTCCGTGGCCACCCGGGCTGTGTGACACTGACAACACATAGCTGGGTGCTGCTGTAGAGTGGAGGTTAAGCACCACGGAGCCTGTGAATCCCCAGTTCTCCCTCACACACACACACACACACCACTCCTGAGACATTTGGTGTTTAAATCGCCACGCTGGGTAGGAAATAACAGGGTCTGGTAGTTCAAGGATTAACAATCCCTGGCAGCCACGCTGGATAACGTTTCATTCTCGTGCCCTGCGAGCTCTCAACTTGATGAACACTTTAAAAAAAAAAAATGTTAATTGAAAACCTTGCAGTAGAGACTATTAGGAAGGCAGCCTGTTTCTGCCTGATAGCCGGATCGGAAGCCAGGCTCCATTCAAGTGTTTGTCTCCCTTATCAGCGAGGCTGCTGCGGCGTCTCGGGTGTTTCTCATGCAGCTCTGCTCTCCTTCTCAGGCCCATATTCTATTATCGTGGCAACGAGATGATGGCGGTGAGAGCTGGGCTTTACAAGGCTCACTACTGGACCTGGAGCAACTCCTGGGAGGAGTCCAGCAAGGTAACAGGGACCCCAACCTGCACCTTGCTCTCGTTCGCTCCCCTGGGGAAGAAGAACTGTTTGAAGCAGAGTTTTAAATTGGGGAGTGTTGTTGTGTGCTCACAAGCCAGCCTTTTATTCACAGCCTCTTAAGAGCTACCTGATCTGCTGCAAAATCTGTCACAGCACCCCTCTGCTGAAGTCTGAACTAAAAGAGGGAGATTTAGACTGGAGAGAAGGAAGGAATGTTTGCCACTGAGGGTGGTGAGCCCCTGGCCCAGGCTGCCCAGAGAGGTGGTCGCTGCCCCATCCCTGGAACCATTCCAGGTGAGGTTGGCCAGGGCTCTGAGCAACCTGCTCTAGTTGGGATGTCCCTGCTCCCTGCAGGGGAGTTGGACTGGATGACCTTGAAAGGTCCCTTCCCACCCAGTCCATCCTTCGAAGTCAGAGAGAAGCAGAGGAAAATGAGCAAGGTCTGAGTTGCTCTCAGGGGTGCTCCCTCTAATCAGCTCTTATCACCCCTTGATATGAACCTTCCTGCTGACATGTGTCCCCTTACAAAGTTTGGAGTCCAAAGCTGAATTAATCACATATCTTACAATTTTTAGTACCAAGAGACCCTGTACTCTGAACTACTTAAATAGAATAGGGATGGGTTTTGTTGTTGTTGTTTTCTGGGAAGGGAAAGGGAAAGCCTTAGGACCTGCACAGTGGAAAGAGCAGCAGTTGTTGGAAACAGTCGAGGACATGTGTTTAATCTATTAGCAGCACTTTGGTGAGCCTGTATCACACTGTAAGATGTTTTACATTTTATTTGCCAAATAAGCACAGCTTTTGTAATTTCCTGGCTGATCTGCTCACAATTGCACGTTAAGCACTATTATTTTTCTTCTTTTGTATCTTTCCTGCCTCAGACTTGCGGACTAAACTCTGGGGCATTTCTTGAATGGCAGGTTCACACGTGTGCCTTGCTGATTATACCTTTAGACATGAGCTAAATGCATTGTGGCAGAGCTCTCAGCAATTTTGACAGCAGGCTGGTATTGGGGAGGGATTGTCTGTAGGATTTTTCTTTTTTTTTTATGTCTCTTTTCTTATTTTTTTTTAACGTATGGTGGGTCCTCAAGGCATCACAGGTGCAGAAGTGAGCACTGCTGACATTTGTGGATATAAAAGTGCATAGTTTCTTTCATTGGGCTGTCCTGGGGGGGTAGAAGGAAACATCAGCTTCAAGGGGACTCATTTCCATTCAGGGCTGTAAATATGTGCATTCGTCTTTTTAAGGCTGTAATGCTCCAGGAGTCAAAGTTTCAGTTTTACACAGAAGGGAAGGAAAGTTGGCTCCAGAAATGCTTTTGCACGTTCTGCCTCGACGCTCATTCTGCACAGCTAAAAATGAGATAATGTGTTTGTCTAGGTTAGCAGGCAAGTAAACCCATCTATCACACAGGATATATCACACAGGGGCACAGCGTGGAGGGTTTTCCTCGTGTGGGAGACACGTGGAGAGTGCAGGTATGTGTGTGTGGGCATGTGAATAGGCTGAGCAGTGTGTTCTTCCCTTGTGTGTGGAAAGGAATGTCACACCAGTGTCTTAAAAGCACATACACACTCTTCCATACCTGGCTGTGCACCAAACAACATGCCTGCCTTGATCTCAGCCCACTTGTAGTGTGGGAGCATGTGCATAGCCGTGATCACGGGGACCAGTTCCTCATTTCAAAGGCTCTCCTGCTGGGAGCAATGGCAGTGGTGCAATTAAGGAATATTTATTTCTTTGGAAGTCTTTGTTTAACTGCTGTCTGATAGAAGTCAGCAATTATAGCGTACATCAGAGACATGATTAAAAATTCCCTTGCTTTCCTGCAGCTTGTATCACATGTGGGTAAAACTGGAGCACATTAGTGGACGGACCAGCCATTAACAACATGCAGAGGAAGCTGAGGCTGGAATTTGTTCCAATTCTCCTCATGTCCTCGAGCCATTAATTACAAACCTTGCAAGTTTAAAAATAGAAATAAATCAGGATGTAGAACAGTTCCACAGCTCTGAGTCCTGTTTTTGGAGTTGTGGGATCTCACCTGATGATACAGTCACCTCTTTCAGTGAGTGGTGTTCCCAGCTGTATTGATATTGGACTATGGCTACAGTCCTGCAATCAAAAAGGCCAATTTGTTGGCTAATTTAATTTGAAAAATGAAAGATACATGCACGTCTGTGGCATGAGGAATTCTGACTGTCAGCAGGTTTGCTGTTCAATAAGTTTGATTTGCCATCCCAGTAGAACTTCAGCTAATGAGGCCTTGTTAATTGTATGATCTTTAGCATGAGTCCTTAGCTCATTGTGCATCCGTTGTGGTGATTTATTAAACTTTCAGATATGAAACTCTCTCTGTCTGAAGGTCCAAACTCAGACCTGGAATAAATAAATGTCTCTGGCTGGCATATCATCCATTTGAAAGAGGTCTGAAGTTGACCACATGTGTCAAAACAGCTGGCTGCAAATTTTTTTAAGAGGTTTGTTTTATGGGTAGTTGAGTATCTCATTATTTTGACTGATCCATGGCACGTTTTAGCCAAACCTCCTTTCATTTTCAGAATTCCCTTGTTCATTGACAGTGTGGGAAATCATTGATACAGAAAACTTGCACTGCTCTTTATCCACGCTTTGCATTTTTGTTTGACTTTTAGATGAGATTATGCCATTAAAGCAGCCAGAACCACATTTTCCTGTTGATATTGGAAAACATGAAGCTGGTACACGTCCTGGGTCTGTTCAGGACGACGATGTCTCTCAGGATTATCTAGAAAGAATGTGTGTGATTTTGGCCTCTAACCTGGAAAGCTCCACGTTTGAATGGGGTCTAAGTTAGTGAAGTACTAAAGCATGTACAGACAACTAAAAACGTACCAGGGAGGCACAGCTTACAGCCAGCAAAGCCTAGGAAAGCAGAGCAGGGCTGTGAATTCTTCTCTCCATATGGCACTTGGAATATTTACACTGGAAAGATCCCACGCAGGCAGCACACAGGTTTACAGTTGTCTTAGACTCCCATGACATTAACATGCCCTTCCTGGTCTGCATCCCCTGCCTTATGGCCTGGGATTTGAATTTGTCATCTTTCACAGAGATGAAGAGTGCTCTTCTGTTCTTCCTAGTTTGTTTGTTTGTTTTTTAACCCCCAAGCAAATTTTTTTTTTCTACTCTGACTCCTCTCATAAACTCTTGTAGTGCTGGAGGATGCCTTGATGCTGTCATCTTCTGCTGGCTTGGCTTGGTTACTTCAGTGGCTCGCCTTCATGAGTGGTTAGCTCTTGGAAGCACCAAGGGAAGTCTCACTCAACAAGAGCAAGTGACAGGGAGCTCTCTGTGGGACATTTTTCCTGTAGATTACATAGGATGCTTATTTGGGTCTGTTTCCCTGGCTTCTGTCTCCTTTCATGTAGGCAACTCACCTTTACATAGTTTGACATCTCTTGACATTCCAGAGGTGATGAATGGGACGGAGGTAGATGAAAGGAAACTTGACTTGGAAAGTGTGTTTATATTTTTAAATAATTTGGCAGAGGGAGGGAAACCTTCCCCTGCACAAGGGCTGAGTCCCTGTTTCTCTAGAAGCACATAAGCTCTTCCATCATCACTGGGCACCTTTCCTCTTGTAGACAAGTCAGCAGTGATAAAACCAGCCATGTGTGGTGTGTTTGAGCAGCAGTAAGAACAAGGGATAACCCGGGGGAGGTCTCTCTGTTCCATGACATAAGACATGCAGGACTTTTACTGGAAGTCTCCTTTGAAATGCTGTCCTTGTTGGTCTCATCATCCTTCCTCTTAGCCTGCAAGTCATGCTTGCTCATTACCAAATTTGAACTGGATTGCCAAATACATGATGAGTAATGCATGTGAACTTGGTGTTTCTGTTTTATTGCTACTGGTGTCCACAGCCATGGAATCATAGAATTATTTTGGTTGGAACAGACCTTTAAGATCATTGAGTCCAACCATTAACCTCACTCTAACCAAGTCCAGTGCTAAACCATGTCCCTCAGCACCACATCTCCACGGCTTGGAAACCCCTCCAGGGGTGGGGACTCCACCACTGCCCTGGGCAGCCTGGCACAGCCCTGGGCAACCCTCAAGGCTTTTCTTCAAAAAAAAAGCTTCCCATTCCCAAAATGAACGCTCAGAGTCTGCATTGTTAGGAGTTATTTTGTCCACTGGATTGAAGGGAGAGGCACATTTCATCTCCCTTGTTTGGAAGGAGAGGTCTGAAAGAGGAAAAAATGGGTATTCTGTATGGATTTCTCTAAGTAATCACCAAATCCTGCAGGAACTGCCCAATTTAATGCTATGTAGAGGAGGCAGGAGGATGAACTAGCAGGAGAAAGGAAATGTCCTTCTCCTTGCCTGCCACAGTGACTATCCAGCAGAGAACAGTCCTGGTGCCCTCCAAGAGCAGTGATGCAAGAAGGGAAAAAAATAATTAAGAAAAAAAAGATGTGGAAAATGCCCTTTGGTTCATTGGAGAGTGGCTGATAACATCAACCTTTCTGCTGTCAGCTTAGTATCTTGTTAGTAGCCTTCAGTGGTTTTTCAGGAGAGCTCCTGTGTCTTTAAGTGATTGGTGTGGGTGCCTGCCAGAGGACCCTATTGTTTTAATGCAAAATGCCAGAGGGGTTATTCCTGCCTCAAGTCTGTCTGATTGCCCTTCTCCTCAACGTGAAGGGATCGATAAAGCCTTTTCTGCAAGGGGGATGTGAAGTCAAGTAGAACCTCACAAATAATGACATTTGATTGTGGTCCTCTGAGCATATGAGCTAGCCATTGATCGCTTCTGCTTGAGAGCCGCTGGAGCCTGGCTGATCTGCCCAGCTTCTGGGGGCTCTTCCAGACAGTTAACACATTAGAAGCAATTCTTGTTCAACAAGCTTGAAGCTGGCAGTCCCAATTTCAGGTGTCTGGTCACTCAGAGCTCCAGTTTGGGAGGTTTTGGCTGGGACTCGGCAGGAGAGTGGGAACAGCCACTTCCCCGTGCTGCAGCAAACAGCAAGAAACAACATTCCTGGCTTTAATTAGCTGCTCTTCTTTTCTCCTTCCAACATTTAACACAGTTTTGCAGCTCTGGCTTTTGCGTGGCGGAAGGAGGAGGCACGACCAGGAGACAGAGCCCAGATTTGCTGCTGCCACTATCAAAATCCACAGCCTTGTCGGGGGGCCTGGAGGGATCTGGGCTAGTGCCAGGGTGACGAATTGCCAGAGGGCTTACGTTAACACAAGTGGTGATTCCATCACTTGGCAGAGAGCCCAAACTGGCAACCGGCTGTATTTGTCTCATGTCTATATTGACATAGCATCTGTGGTCCATTTGCTCTGGAAATTAAAGCATAAGCTGTGCAACCAATAACCTCTAGATCTTAGGAACGGAAAAACAGTCCAGGAGACCCGATTGCTGTGGGGAGAAGGACAGAGAGATGTGCTCACTGAAAGTTTTACCTGATGTGCAGGAAATTTTGTTGGTTTTTTTTCTTTTCTTCAAAAAAAAAAAGGATTGCTGGAATCTCTCCTGCATCAAACGTGTCTCCAGAGTGGTGCAAAACACTGTGGCTGTGCAAGAGGCCGGGTGCTGGAGCTGAGCTATATTTCTGGTTGCCATCTGATGCTCTTTTATGGGCTCCCTCAGAAGGCATGGAGCTTATCTTCTGGTTTGGTTTTCATGCTTTTATAATTCAAGAGAAAAGCTCCCAAGTATTTGCTTAAGCACAGGGAGTGACCTTTCTACTTTGTTTGAGGATCGTTACCTGTAAACATGCAAATTCCTTTGGCTAGTGTGCAGAGTAAAATATTAGGCATGTGTTTTAACTGGCTATTGATCCCCTGCTGTCCTGCTTTGGGTAATACTGCTATTAACAGGCTGCCAAATAAATACCTGAAAGGAAATAGCAGCAGATGAAGTGGTAGTTGATTTGGGGTTTGTTATCCTGGTGGATAGGGCAGGCAGAGCTGCTTCTTTGCTCTTCTCCACCATGTATGTCATAGCTCTGTTTTGGAGTGAAGTTGCCATCCTGTTGACAGTGCCAGAGGTGAAGCTGGTCCCTCATCAGTGTAACCTTATAAGTGAGGATTTAGTTAATACTTATCAATATCTAAAGGGTGAGGATGTGGCCAGATTATTGTCAGTGGTGGCCAGTGACAGGACAAGGGGCAACGGGCACCAACTAGAACCCAAGAGGTTCCACCTGAAAAGGACAAGAAAATTCTCTGCTGTGAGGGTGTCTGAGCCTGGAGCAGCTGCCCAGGGAGGCTGTGGAGTCTCCTGCTCTGGAGAGATTCCAAACCTGCCTGGATGTGACCCTGGGCACCCTGCTGTGGGTGACCTGCTGGAGCAGGGGGCTGGAGGAGATGATCTCCAGAGGTCCCTTCTCTTCTGTCAGAGGGACAGAGCACTGGGCCCCTCGAGCTGTGTCTGTCATGGGTTACTGACCCTGATGCAGGACCATGCCTCGAGCAGGGGTGTGAGGATATAATTTTGGCCCTTATTTTTTGTATATTTGTTGATGAGCAGGTAGAAAAGATTTTAAGCTCTCTCTAGTTGAATACTGGCAGTCACACAGTACATAAAAGTAATAGTAGTGAATTTTATTTGTGGAGCTAAAGTTGAAAGGCTGTAGAAATATGAAGGGTCATTTTAGCCCTGTTTTAAGGGAGTTGTTTGTCAATGTCATAAAACAGGCTGCTTGATTTTTTTAATTTTATTGTTTTTTTTTTTTTTTTCCCCCAATAGAGTATTTTTGAAGAGGGCATTGAGTGCTTAGATCAGCCAGCCAGCTTTTGGCTAGTGGCATCAGACAAGTCAGCACAGCACTTTCTTTCCTGGGAGTCTTTGGGATGCACCCTGGACTCTGTTCTGGAGTCTCAGCTACACAGATTTTACAAAAAAAAACAAAAAACAAAAAACAAAAGATAAAATGTAAACAGAGCAACACATAAACAAATACCCCAGAGACTAAAATCTCCTTTCACACTAAAACATTTGCAGCCGAAGAGCATTGTACCAATTAGCAGGCTCTTAATTAAATTGCTTGTTTGATTTGCATCCAAATTATAATTTGGATGTTATGTAGGCTTTGATACCTTTTCATTAACTGTTCCTTTTGTGAAAAAAAAAAAAAAAATCAAATCTATTTTTCACTCTATGTTTCAGAGGCCTGTGGCATCACAAGGTGGAAAGGTCAATCATTTTTTGTATCCATTTAAAGTCCATTATTGGTAGGCCACTACAACCTATCAAGCAGCTCTCTTATTTTTCCAGTCAGTGGTTCAGGAATCTATACCTCTGTGCAGATAAATGGGATTTCATGGGCTTCTAAACTTCTTGCTTTATTGAAAAGCAGAATATTAACTGCTCCACTGACCAGCTGTCCATTAAAAACACAGGATATTTTTAGAAAATTGTTTGCCAATCAAATCCTACCAACATCTGTAGAGAGCCTTTTCACTTTGCTTGTTTTATAAGCAAATGCTACGGCTGCTTTCCCACCTCCATTGAAATATTCCCATTTACCTTCTCTGCCCATGCCTCGGGGCAGTCGGAGGCATTGTCCTCAGTGGAGCTGGAATTGTCCCCCGTGCTGGTCCCTGCTGGTCTCTGGGACCCCCTGCTTTGTCCTCTGCTCAGGGAAATCAGTGCTTTGCATTTGTTGCTGTTCTAAATGGGTTCTGTTAGCCCTCAAACCTGCCAGCCAGGCTCTAGGTGACCTGGCTAATAGCCAGCTTGGCACAGCGTGACCTGTGACCTGCAGGGCTTGCTCTGTGGCCAGCAAGACTTTTAACCCATTGCTGATAGCAAAGGGAGAGTCCCAGTATTTGTGCCCTTGCTATCCACTGCTGGAAAAATCCCAACTTCTGACCCCACAGGCTCAAATGTCAGTGGCAGGAACGGCTCCAGACTTAACACAGCTCTGGCAGCCCCACTGCTGTTCCCGGGTGAGTGCCTCAACACCAGCTTGCTCTGAATCAGGTCAACAAATGCACCCATTGCTTGAAAATTAACCACATGGCTTCGTTCTACATCCCTCGGGCTGGTGTCAGGGGCTGGCAAGCTGAGTTTTCAGGGAGGCTGGCAAGTGCCCATTGCCTCTCAGGTTTGGCTGGATGATTCCCCGGGGACTGTTGCTGTTCTGAGTGATCCCATCCTCTCCAGCTATTTTGGAGCCCTAGAAACCAATGAGAGGAGACACTTTCCACGTGCAGAGTTTTTATGATTAAATGGTTTCACCCCTTTGTCTTTTGTTTTGCCGTTTTATTTTAATGAATATTTTATGGAGATTATTCTTTTATAAGGCAGGAATGTAAGGCCTGCTTCAGCTTTTATGTCAGTGCAGTGCCAACGTTGTCACCTTATTTTACCCCATCAGATCAGGATCCATTTCACAGACTGAAGTGGACTCTGGATTAAAGGATTCTGGGGTGTGGGGGTATATTGGAACAAAGTGCTGAAGAAAGCACCGTGGCATCAGCTGCAGTTTTGCTCCCTCCCCTGCTTCACCCTTGGTAACCTCTCTCCTTTTCACCACAGGGCATCAATTTCTGTCCTGGGCAGAATGTCTCTGGAGTGACAACACATACACAGGAGGAGCACACAAACCTGCCACTGCTTTTCCACCTGGGGAGGGACCCTGGAGAGAAGTACCCATTAAGGTGAGCCAGTGAACACTCTCAGCACTCTCAGCTTTATAGAATTCACTTGTCTTTTTAGCTGTTTTTTTGCAATCTGCTTGAAAACTGTCCCAGAAAGCCAATTACTGGTGAGAGTAGTAAAAAGAGAGGAACAAACCTTCCTTTTCAAATGGTTAGAAGGATGTGCACATGTCCATGGCTTGACTTGTCGTCCAGTTGTTCTTGTTCTGTGTCCTACAACCCTTGACAGAGGAGGCAAATCACTTTTGGGCAGGACAGAACTGAGTGCAGGGCAGCTGTGGAATAAAGTTGTGGTGCTGGTGAGCGTGTTCATTGGAGCTGCAAGTCTCTGGGTGTCTGAGGGCTGGAGAGGAAACATCTAGTGACTGTTTTTTTTGCAATCTGCTTGAAAACTTCCCAGAAATTCAATTACTGGTGAGGCTAGTAAAAAGGGAGAAACAAACCTTCATTTGAAAATGGTTAGAGGGATGTGCACATGTCCATGGCTTGACTTGTCGTCCAGTTGTTCTTGTTCTGTGTCCTACAACCCTTGACAGAGGAGGCAAATCACTTTTGGGCAGGACAGAACTGAGTGCAGGGCAGCTGTGGAATAAAGTTGTGGTGCTGGTGAGCGTGTTCATTGGAGCTGCAAGTCTCTGGGTGTCTGAGGGCTGGAGAGGAAACATCTAGTGACCTTTGTGTACTCTGTGGTGCTTTTCCTCTGTGCATTGGAATCTGTGGAAGGCAAATGTGGTAACCTTCCAATCTTCTAGCCACTGCTAAAAGAGCTTCTCCAGGAGCTCTTTAGCAAGAGGACTTTCTGCCCAATCCTCTTCCATCCTTGGACTCTTTTGGTTGTCTGAATCCATTTTCCTATAAGCCTGCTATTGTAGTAGTTATCTCCAGCACACACCATGCCCTGAGAGATTTCTGTAAGGATTTACGTCGTCATCAGCCAGCACAGCCCACATATAAACCTGCCACCTCCAAAAAAAAGCTCCCAAGGTGTCCCCACCTCCCTCTTTCCTTCAACTGACTGAGTTTTACCCTGCAGCAAAAACCAGCTGCAAATGGGGTCTTGCAACCTCATCCCTCAGCAGTGGCTCTGACTCAGAGAATGTGGAAATAAATAAAGAGAAAACTAGTGCTGCTGTGACTGCCTGCACAGAAATGGGTTTGTGCAGCAGCTTTACCAGAGAGATGTTTTCTGGGCTGACAGCACTGCAATTACTCAACTGTTTTAAATAATTGAGTGGATACACTTACTCCATTATGTTCAAAGGGAACGGAGCCTGTGCTGTCCACTAGAGAGAAAAGGGGAGGAAAAATATTTTCCCTTCTGTCTCACTGAAGAGATGAGGACCCTAGAGGTGTGTGAGGTGGTGTGTGAAGCTCTGCAGCAGCCCAGCTCTCTTTCTGTGCTCTCTTTCTGTTGCATTTCAGCACTAATGAATACAGCAAATCAACAGCTCTTGTGTTTTAAATTCAGCTCAGTGCAACCACGCTACTGGGCTGGGTTTCCAGATGAGACTGTGCCCTGTTTGGTTTAACAAGTATTTTATTTTAGGAAGATGAGTGGATAGAAATGACCTCTTTTCCCAAAACCCAAACAAATGGGTGGTATTAAGTGAACTGTAGCTTGCCTGCTGTTTGTGCTTCTCTGAAATTGAGGGAGAGGCGTTTGCAGGACTCTTGCTCCCCTGTTATTTTGATGTTCCTTGCCACCACCACAGACTGAGCATTGACATAAATTCCAGTGGTACATCTGCAATCCTTTCTCATACAGTTGCATTGATTTTTTTGGACATTCACAAGCTGTTGCTTTGATTGAATTTTATGGCAAGATTATGACACGATTATGGAAAGCTGTGATGTTGTTTAATATGCAGACCCTAATAGAAAAGCCTTTTTTTTAAGCAAAAGCACCTTCCTTTCTGCAGCATGTTCTGTTGCTATTGTCTCCTCTCTGCTAACAATGGAAAAACTCCTGGGAAGTGGGTCTCCTCTATCGAATGTGGTAATTAAATTATCCTCATTTGTGGAGCTGTTACTGGTGTGTATTTTTATTTAGGTTAATTATCCCCCTTGGCAGGCAGCCTGTTGGGATTCCCAACGTTAATGTTTCTCAGAAGGGAATCCAGTGTTCCCCTCCAAGCATGCATCTGGCTGTCCCTACGTGCTGCCCGTGCTCGTAGCCTCCAGCCTGAGCTCTCTGGCTGTCCACAGTCCACACTCCTCCATTCACCCTCCTGCAGCTTGCCAAGAACAGGGTCCATCACGGAGCTCTTTCACCAGCCTGGCTTCTCTGCTGCATCATTCCGTGGCCAAAGGATTTAGAAAAAAAAAATTGTGTTGTGCCCCTGATTTATTTGGACCTTTCCCTTTTTTGTGCTGTTTACTGTTACTGCTTTGCTTTGTTAATCTCTGCTGGGTTTGATTGGTTTTGCTGCTGCTGTGAAGGAGCAGCATGGCACACCGATGCCCTGTTCCTTCCACCTGCTTTGGCTCATTTTTCATTTCATTTAGTCCTGATTTTAGTGCAGCCTTTCCTTCTCCCAACAACAATTTTAATAATCGCTCGTATCTCTTGATTTGCATGAGTTTGGAGTGGAGTCACGTGCAAAACCACTGCTGAGAGCTTTCACTGCTGCTCATAAAGGCCAGGCAGCACACACACCTCAGAGGGGTTTACTGCTCAGGTATCTGGGCTCCTTCTGGGATCCTAAGGGATCTCAGAGCCAGGGCATCTTGGAAATCAGTCAGCTCAGTCCACTGTGGCAAGGCTCTTGGCTTGCAGGGTGCTTATGCTCAGACAGTCTCACCTGCAAGGTCTTTGGGTTAAAAAAAAAAAGACTAATAAAAGAGACTCTTCTAAGGCTACAGTTTCAGTTCGTCTCATAACGTGGGGATTAGACTTTCCACCTTCCTTGGAGAACTGTCTGCTGAAAGGATCACTGAAGATGCAAGTCCTTCAAGTTCTGGAGACAAGCACGTACAGTTTTTGGTTCCCAGATTTCATGGTGAAGCAGGACAAGTCCTTCCTCTTCCTGACACAGCTCACTGCATTTCCTGGAGCCTGCCTGGAAACAATGTCAGCAAAAGCTTATCTCCCACAGGAGCACTTTTCATGAAGTGGAAAAACTGGTCAGGCAATTACAGGCAGGCCCTGTCATCGTGTTGAGGACATGCCTGGCAGTTCTGAGCCATATGGCACCCTGCACTCCTGTTCCCTTCGTGTGAGGCTGTGCATGGATCCCTTCCCATGTCTGCCTCCTGGAACAGACCCTCCCCCACAGGGTTGTGCCTCTTTCCTCCTGCTATTGCCCCTCTGGGTTTGGCTGGACCATCTCCTGCACCCCATCTCCTGCCACGGGACACAGTTGTGTTCATCCCTTCGCCCTGAAAGAGGGTTGCTGATGTTTCTGGGCTGGAACTTCACACCAGCAATCCAACAGCCTCACAGACTCTGCATAACAGGTTGTGAGTTTTCCTGCTGCTGCATCCAAGGCAGTATGGCCAGCAGGTGGAAGGAGGGGATCCTGCCCCTCTGCCCTGCTCTGGGGAGACCCCCCTGCAGTGCTGGGGCAGCTCTGGAGTCCTCAGCACAGCAGAGCCAGGGACCTGCTGGAGCGAGGCCAGAGGAGCCCCAGCAATGACCCAAGGGGGGAACCCCTCTGCTGGGAGCCCGGCAGGAGAGAGTTGGGCTGGGGCAGCTGCCTGCTGGGGGCTGCCAGGACTGCCAGGGGCCTAGAAGAAAGCTGGGGACAATGTTTTTAGCAGGTCATATGGTGACAGGACAAGGGGGGATGGTTTGAAATTTAGACTAGAGAGAAGGGAGAAAAGTTTGCTGTTGAGGGTGGTGAGCCCCTGTCCCAGGCTGCCCAGAGAGGTGGTCGCTGCCCCATCCCTGGAACCATTCCAGGTGAGGTTGGCCGGGGCTCTGAGCAACCTGCTCTAGTTGGGGATGTCCCTGCTCCCTGCAGGGGGTTGGACTGTGGGACCTTGCCAGGTCCTTTCCAACCCAAACTTGTCTGTGACACTATGATATTTACATCATCACAATGACAAACTGGATGGAGCAAGATCCTTGTCATTCACATTCAGAACTGACGTGCTCAGCACTAGCATCAAATACAGTCTGATGTATCTGACAAACTCTTGTCCACCCCTCTCCTGCAAGGACTCCTCCTTTGAGAACACCAGCATCCTGGGGTCCTGGCATTGAGAGAAGCTTGGCCCTGTATGATAAGCTCAATGCTGAGGTGTGGCCTGAACATACCTGCAGGTACTGATGAGGCAAAACTGACATCTGGAGAGGTGCTTTTAATAAGAACACCTTCAGAACCAGTACATACTGGCAATACATTTCAAAGAAGTGTGGCCACTGCTAAATAATCTGTCTTGCAGTTGCCAAAAAAGATCATGTAACTTCACTTAGACCCATAAGAGTCACCTTGTTATCTGGTCCTTGTGGAGTGAGAAGGGACCCGTTCGTGTCTTTTGTCATCCAAGAGATTGACTAGATCTGTGTGGGCTCTGGGAGAGAAGACAGCTCTTTTTTTTATAGCTCTCTACTTGAAAACATAAATAAGATTGTGTGTTAGGCAGAACAGAAAGCAGAAGCATTTCTCTGAGTCTAAGCAGCATTTTGTTTCCTCCCTCGATGCAATTACTGAGGGGTTTTGCTTCGTATAAAACCACTCAAACCGTGGGGTGCCCTTGTTACCCAATTTACCAGAATGCAGAACTAAAAAGATCTGATAGGCCCCTTTCTTTACTAAATCCTGTCACGTTTAGGGGATCGTGTGTCTGCTCAGTACCACAGAAGGAACTTGTTTCTGCATCCAAACCGTAGGTGACAAATTCAGTCAAATTATCTGGTGGTAACATCTTCACAGCCAGTTGTTGGTTTTATTGCCCAAGCCACAGATGACTGTTACCACACGACTCTACTAAAAGGCTTCACTGCCAGTCAGGAGGAACACAAGCAATAACAGACACAAAAAGCTGCCAAGGCTTAA